TTGTTAACATTACTAATGATAAGTTGAAAACTTTTCAATAGATATAATATGCTTATTAGATCTTTATTGCTATATAGGTATTAAATAAATTCTGAATTGGTATCAGTTAAAATTTAGAATACCAACCTAATTTTAGTACCACTTTTAGATGATCGAACATTGCTTATTTCACATTTGGCTATTATAGCTTCAACTTGTGACTCATAAGTGACAAACCTTTTTAGCGAAATGATATAGGTAGATTTAATATATTCTATTATTTTGTTTCGCTAACTCCCTAATTTGATGCTTTCTTGCTTACAATATAAAATACAAACTTATAACAAATTTTGTATCGCTTTTATTTTTTGTAAGAAAAAAAAAGCCTCGAAAAATACTATTAATTATTATAATTTAAATAATAATAAACTAATAACAATAAGTAATTTAATTTTATTAGCTAGACAACTAAATACGTAATTTTTGTTTCTAGTTATACTATTCCAATCTAGCTTTCCAGAAGATCATCTGATCTCAACCTGGTACACATTTTTCAGATGCTATGTCAAAACCTTTAAGATACAAAATCAAGTTCATATAGGTGTTTAATACATCGAAATGCTAATAGCTCTATAGATAAATCGATAAAGCTTTATCGATTTATCTATAAAGCTATTGGCATTCTGATGTATTGAACACCTATATGAACCCAATTTTGTATCTTAAAGGTCTCAACATATCTGGATTAGTGATGCTGATTGGTGCCCGATTTGCCTTCATTTGACCTATATAAGTTTGTATTAGAATTACAGTCGTGAATTCTATCGTGAATTACTAAAAAATTTTTTACAAAACTTACACTCTATTGCAGTGATGCATAATGCGTAGTTGGGTTAGTTTGTAGTAAAATTTTGTTACAAAACCTGCTGCTTTAATAAAGAGTATGTGTGGTTGAATTAAGTTATATGATGAATTACTATACCATAAATTGAAAATTTTTTATCTGAGTCTTTAATTTGTTTACATAATTCAGTTTCTTCATTTTCAAATCTTCAAAAAAATGATTCAGCGAATTAGCTAATTCTTCAGCAGTTGATCAGTTTTGAGGTTCTGCATTTAAGCATTTATTCATCAAATCCAAAAGTAATTGTGGAGCTTTATATCTGACATATGGTCTACGACCTAGACAAACTTGAATCGCTAGACTTCATTATGATGATATGGAATATCCAGTAAAAGCTTCTGACATAATTATTCTAAAAGAATAAATATCAGATTTTTGAGTGTATTCCTTTCCATTTGTATACAATACTTCTGGTGCAATATAGGGAAGTACACCAAAAAGTGCTTTAGAACTTGAGTCTTGTGACACTGGCTTACATAAGCCAAAATCAGTAATGTAAGAGCTATACATATTTGATTAACTATATTTCCAGAATGAAAATCTTTATGTACTAATTTGGCATTATTAAATTGTATCAAGCCTATCAGCTATTTTAGAAGCCCAGTCTAATTCACAATTACTATACATCTAACAATTTTCGGAAACTTCCTTGCTTTGCATATGCTATAACTATTATATAATTATCATCTTTTGGGTTTTTAAATCGCAATTGCTAAATAGCCTCCATATATATGTTGATTTTTAACCTAATAAAATATTAATTAGAGTAAGATTACTATACTTTAATAAATACTAAATTATAATACTTACTTCATCTAAAAATTATCATTTCATATCTTTAGAATTATCAAGACTTTTTAAACAAACATCTATTTGCGAACTTCTTTTCCACTTATTCGTCCAAAAATCAAGTCCGTCAATCCATACTACCTTAAAAACAGTGCCAAAGCCTCCTTTAGCAAGATACTTTATATTTGCAAATTTACTAAAGGGTATCTATTCAATAATGTTTTTAAACTTCTCTGCATTAAGTTGTATTTGCTGGATTAATTGATCAGCGTTGTAGTTGTCACTTGTCTAGTTATGAAATTCTTTTTTAAACCTTAATATTAAAAAAATAATAAATATGATAGTAATTAAGAGCTACGACTATAAAAAATAACAACTAATATATACTGTCTATCATGTGTCAATATAATTAATTATTATAACTATATACAAAAGTTATATCCTACCATCGTAAGTGCTTGTATTGGAAATGAAAATTTTTTTTGTATCTTGATACAAAGTATATAGTTGAGATAATTTGCAGTAAATAAAAAATTTTGGTATAAAACTTACTGGCTATTATGACAATGTAACTTATTCGGGCTGAAAAAAATTGTCGGTCCTATAATTGTCATAATTGGAACATGAATTTAAAATATTGATCTCATTAATTGATATACGATATATTGAGATCCGATTATAACAATCATGAGACTGCCAATTTTTTTTTGGCCTGACTAAGTCGTATGTATGACACATAGTGGGTTTGTATTAAAATTCCAGTCACGAATTCTATCATAATGATATATAGTATGTGGTGAGTTAGTTTCCTGTTGTAATTTGATGCATAAAGTATATGTGGTTAAAGTTTGTATTGAATTAACAATCATGAATTCTATTGTGATTAGTGATGCAACCCAAATTATTTGAGATGTCCCAAACCATGTAAAATTATTAGTTTTGGTTGTCTTCACTCTTATTGCCGAAATTATGTGATACTAATTATCACATGGTTTGGAATATCCCAAATAGTTTGGGTCACATCACTAATCGTGATGAAAAAATTTTGTTATGAAACTTATTTGATATTATGACACATAGTGGCTAAGGTAAGTAGGTTGTGTTAGAATTACAGTCATGAATTCTGTCACAGTAACACATCATAAGTGGTCGAGTTAGCTTTGATACAAAAACTTTTTGTTACCAAAATCTGATGTTGTAGCAAAACTGTTTATTATGAAATTTGCTAACTTGACATGTAGTATGTGTTAAGGGTAAGTTAGTTTGTATTGAACTAATAGTCAGGAATTGATTCATTGTAAAAAATTTTGGTACGAAACTTACTTGATGTTATGATATATAGCATGCAGTTAAGGTTAAGTAGGTTTGATTAGAATTAAAGTTGTGAATTCTATCATGGCTAATATGACTACAAAACTTAAAACTCTACTATAGTGAGTATCACATATATAGTCAAAGTAGTTTGTATTGGAATTATGATTATGATTTCTGTTACAAAACCTGCTGTTATAACACACTACATCTAGTTAAGTTAGTTTGTAATTAACAGTTATGAAATCTATTACAAAACTTACTTGTCATCGTGATACTCATATGTGTCAAGGTTGAGTAGATCGATTAAAATTAGCATGGACAATTATGAAGTCTATTATGATTTGTTACAAAACCTACTTGTCATTATACTCATATGTGTCAAGGCTGAGTTAGTTTGTACAAACATGAATCTACTACTATATACAAATTTAAACAGTATATACAGTATACCTTACTGCAGTAATAAAGCACATGTGGAATCCAATCCTGGTACAGGACTTGCTTGATATTCCAGAATAAGGAATTGCTAGTTTGAAATAGAATTAAGTTAGTGTTGAAAATTCTGCTAAAAAACTTACTCAATATTTTAGCAAGTTGTTAAAGATAAATTAGTCAACATTAGAGAATAAAAATTTTGGTGCAAAGTATACTCATTATTTTGGTAGCACAGATTTTGATGTAATGTAAATAAAGTAACGCATTATAACTATTCTTCGCGTCAAAGTATCATAAAGTGTTCTATTTAAAAGTAGCCAGTAAGATTCTTACGATTTATAGTTACACAATTCAATAAAATTAATTTATATAGGTAATCTAAACGTTATCATTACACACAAATTTTTTTAGTATATAGTTATAGATATAGTTATAGATATTCATCATCAACTATTATGTGAGTTTGGTGATGAAAATCTTTTTAAAGATTTTCCAACCTCAATGTATATGCTTCAAAAACATCTTAAAATCGGTAACTTTATAACATATTCAGTATGTCCAAAAGGTAACAAACTATATACTGAAAAAGAAATTGTTGATTTATGGGATAATAATGGACAATTATTAGTAAAAAAATATAACCATGTTAAATTTCCAAATATAATTGAATCTAGACAAGTAGTTACATGTAATTCGGTCTTAGCAATACAAAATCAATATCTAAGTGGTACTATTAATAAGCCAATTTTACTTTATTCTTTTGCAAGTATTAAAAGTCAACTTGCAAAAATGTATATATGTTCTAATTTTAAACAATTATGTAAAAAATAAACTCAGTCTTACCTTTAATATTAAAAAAAAAATAAAAAAAAATAAAAAATAAACTCATTGTAATGTTTCTAAAAGCATTCTTTCTGACATTTATAATGGTCAAGTTTGGAAAGAATTTGCTAATAAAGAATCAATTAGCAGTCAATTTTTTACACAAAAATCAGCTAATACACATTTTGGCTTTATATTAAATTTAAACTAGTTTTAGCTATTCGATAGAACCCAGTATAGCACTGGTATAATTTATATGGCTATTTCTAATTTACCAAGAGATATTCAATTTAAAGCTAAAAACATGTTAGTTCTTAGCATTTTATCAGGTCCAAATGAAGTTCATTTATACCATATTAACCACTATCTTGCACCAGTTGTTGATAAGTTACTTCGATTTTGGGATAGTATTCAAATTTTAACTTATAAGAACCTATCTGGAAAGACAATTTGAGTGGTATTAATTTTATGTTTATGTGATATACCTGCAGCTTGAAAGCTTTGTAGCTATATTAAGCATTAGCAGCCTGTTATTATTATGAAAAAAAAGCATAACATGAGAATAGATATTATCATTATGGAAGCATAAATAATATTGACACTTGATTTATTGAACATGACTTAGCTTAGCATCAACAAGATGCTAAGCAATAGAGAAGATACTATACTAAATCAGACAGAAAACAACATGAAAAACTTATTTATATAGAGGCATCCATAAATAACGTTATGCTTGAGGGGGGGGAGGGGTCCCCCAAAATATAACAATTTTTCAATATTTAGGGGGGTTGTGCAAAAGATAACATAATTTTTTTATAAAAATTTGGCTAAAATTTGATCCAGTGGTCCAAATTGGATGATTTTGGTACCATTCGAATCGTCTCGAGGAGAGGAGTCGAATGGTACCAAAATTATTTGATTTGGATCACTGGATCATGGTTTATTAATGAAATACTATTGGTTATTATGTTTTTTTATAAAATTACTTTAAAATTAACAGTATTTCATTAATAAAACGTTATCCAGTAGTCCAAATGAAATGATTTTGGTACCATTGGATTCGTCTCACAGAAACGAATCGAATAGTACCAAAATCATCCTGATTGGATTACTGAGTCATAATATATCCAAGTTTTTGTAAAATTTT